TAGAGCTGAATCCTTTTTGTAACAGAGCCTGCGTGTTTTCTGGAAAGATCTCATGGTGCTCAGTGGCTCAGCATTCTGATTTGAGCAGCACATTCATCGATCGCTTCGTCAAGCTGGATCACGTCGCGTCGTGCTTGAAATTCGACTTCTTCCTTGGATGGTAGTGAATGCCACAAACCTGGTTTTCTGTGGATCGCCATCGACCGACGGTTATCGATGTGCTCGCTACGGCGATCGATACTAAGGAATGTGGCCGGTCCATCGATCTCGCTTAGAGGGTGCGCGTAGTAGTGGGATCCCTGGGCCGTTAAGAAAACGTTGCAGCTCAGCACCGCGTCCATGTCGTGCGGCTTCGGGAAGCCACTCATGGGAGGCCCGCTCCCGCTTCCGAGACATCCTTGCCAGTGCAAGTTCTGTGAAACGCCAGAACGGTATTGGAGTTGGCAAAAGAGTGTGGATGTGAGTGCGGCGGGAAAGAATTTACCCCCGCAGGTGATGTATAGGGATTCAAGATTTTATCAGGACAGGGAATATATGAGGCATATGAATACGTTACTTGCCGGCGTTCCTATAATCAGACGAGGAGAAGGCAGAACCTGAGGAGTATTTTGAACTCGATAGACGATAGTTTCTTTCTTGCGCTACGTCTTGTTAACAACCCAATATCTTTTGCCTTCATCTAATTGGTTGGTTGCTTTATTCATTTACCTGTCTCTTTCAGTAGTGTCTTTTCCACTGAGGGTGCTACTCCCTGTGGGAACTTTTCCCCTAACAGAAAAATGAACTCCATGGTTTTGAGGTAGGCTTTCGATCGCAGGGCCGAAAAAGTGGGCACCTTGCAGTCACGTTCGTTGGAAATATCCAAGGAGGCCCTGCGCGAAGAGGAACCAAGATTCAGCATGGCGCTTTCGGCTGCGGTTTATATATATTCCTTTGCTTGGGGGGCATAACACACAACTTTCGCTAGAGTTCCATACACAACTTCCTTTCTCTCTATGCTCTTTGATCTCGTCTACCATCTTGTAACCTCCCGCTCTTCACACCCCACATAATACTTTGAGGACCTTTACTTTTTGTAACTTGGGTGGCTGTCTGGCCCCTTTCGTCCTTATTTTCTTACGAAGGGCCACAGCACGGGTTTTCTGTTGATTACATCTGGGGATTTTCATGGATCAACAAGGAATACATTTAGACGCCTTCGCACGCATTGGAGACTTATTACTGCCTTGATCGCTACAAAACTATGTGGGTCCGTACCAACCTCGCCAGATCGCCGGATCGCCGGATCGTCGCGATCACCAAATTCGTTTGTATTCAGCCAAGATCCTGAGAAAACACTTACAGGAGGTCTGTAGGAATAAAATAATTTTCTTAAGTTGCTGTGTGACTCAGATAGCTCGACTTGAGACATTTCTAAACACGTGAAGTCACTTGAATCAAGTGAGAGCTCTCAATCCCCTATGTTTCACAAAGGCAATCTCTTGTATTTCCATCCGAGAGATGAACGCCTTGTCAGATGCTAGCACACATGAATTTTTTAACAACCTTTAAATATTGTGAAGTTTGCCCATTAAAGAGTATTTATCTAGAAAGCGTCTTCTGTGACAAGTATCCTCAGGGGAGAATATTAGGCAGGCAGCCACCCTTCCAGAAGTATAAATAGCTGTATCTACTCACATAGTTAGTCGTAAGAATTATTATATCAGTTCAGGGTTCCTACTCTTTGCTGCTTGTAGCGCCATTGACGAGCTACAGAGAATACGCTTGATGTCCACTCATGGAGACTTGCCTGCTCACATTCGATGTCAGAATGATACTTTTGCGCTGGACTTTTTCATGTTGTCTGAAGAATAGGGGACATTTCCCCTAAGAATGACATCTGGCATGACCAGGCCACGATGTTCTAAAGAATAGGGGATATTTTCCCTAATTTCCCTGGAAAATGGCCTCAGATTGGGTAGGTCTGTGCTTAACCTCAACTCCTGTCGCCTGTCCTCTTCCTGCCTCGATCGATGGAAGCTATAAACACCACACGCGATGACTGTCAAATCGTGTATGCTAACCAAATCGCACAAAACGCCAAAAGGTGAAAATGCAAAATTACAAAGCTGCAAAAAGTGCCTTTTCGCACGAGTGCAGACATACAAGCCCACCACGGCTTTGTGCTAGGCCTTGCCAAGCTTTAACCGCCAAAGGTGGGCCATAAATGACGTCACTTCCAGCCGTCCCTATGATCCCCCCAAAAGCTGTGCCCGTCGCGGTCCGGACCGGGTGAGACTGGGGAACCCTGAGGAACCCCTATCTCAATATCTGTTATATCTTATCTCATTCCATCAAAAAGAAACTGAATAGTTCTTTTTGACATGAAACAGACAACCCACTTAATGAGAGACTTTGGCATGCTCAGTTCTATCAAAGTTTTGATCATTTGAGAAATTGAAACACAATCAAATGTACCTTTTATATCAATAAACATTGCAGTTGTAACCATTTTTTCATTCTTTGCAAGTTGAATATCATGAACTACAGAGAGAACTGCATCAATTGCTGAGTTTTGTTATTACTTCCCATCTGATCATCATATAATAAATCAGTAGTAGTAGATAGAAAAGACAGTTTAGTTGCAATTATCTTTTCCAAAATTTTTCCCAGACAATTCAGCAGAGATATCACCCTATAAGATTTAGGAATAGTTGGTTTTCTATTGGGTTTTGATAGAATAACTCCAATAGCATGCCTCCAGCACTTAGGATGATACCCATATTTCAAAAGATTTGAGAACAATTCAAAGAGCTCATCTTTTAGTACTGAATAAAGCTCTTGAATTATTAAATGATTTATAGTATCAGCTCCTGCTGCTGTGACCTTTGAAGATGAAAAAATAGCTGTCTTTAATTCATCTTCAGTTAAGTCAGGCCATTCTCATTTCTTATGATGTTTATATTTATTATCTTCTTGCGAAGAACAAACCTCAGTTGAATTATTTGATGATGGAAATAATATTCTCATAAAAGCTTGACATTTATCTTCAAATGAGCTAGCTATAATTTTCTCATTCTGAAAATTATAAGTTAATGTTGGTAGCTTAGACATTGTTTTTGACTTTGTATATCTGAAAGCTTTGAAGATCTCTTTTTCCTGAGCATTTTCTAGAAAGTTATTCCAACAATCAGTCTTTGCTTTTTTAATTGTCGAGAAATAATCATTTCTAATATTCTTTAAATACTCAAATGAGGCATGGCTCGCATTCCGCTCCTCTCATGGGGACTTCTCCTGGTACCACAGGCGTTTCCAGCATGCAGATGCGAGGCTCACCTGTGTCTGTGGACACAACAAGAGCCCAGAACATTTGGTGCTCTGTCGACACTCACAGAGGCACTTTCTTCACTGGCCCAAGAGGCCAGCAGCACGGCCACACAACCGGGCGACAGCTGTTGCCTATCTAGGGTCTCTGACCCCTACAGACTTTGTAGAACTGCTGGACTGCACGCAGTTCTACACACGGTACTGCACAAGGTAACGCAGCCGGCTGGCTGCAAACCATCTGACAACCCCCGCAGCAGTTCCACGAGGCCGGCCTGCTGAGTACACCCACGGTAGCTAGTGCAACTGCCAGGGACATCACAGTCTATGCAGACAGTACAGATAGCACAACTAGGCTCATCTGTCTCAATTAGCTGTGGTGTAATCAGTACAGTCTACGTGTCTGACTCAGCTGATATGGTTTTGACTGCCGGCATTGTATCTACGCGTGCTCTGCTTTGTTTTCCTCTCGTTTGCCCTTGTCTCTATCGGCTCAAATGCTTCTTCTTCCTTCTTTTCTTTGCTCTCTCTGTCATTCTCTACTCTTTTCCTGTCACAACCTTCTTCAGTGCTCTCTCCTTCATTATTTATCTTGTCTGTCTTTCTTCTGATGTTAGAAGCACAGACAGCTTTCTGATCAACTGAGAGAGGTATCCCTCTCTGCTCACTATAAAGCCTTCCAGGCACGGCAGCGGCGGTTCCCTCAGGGAACCACATTATAGCCCCACCATGAATGGCCATACGTCGGGCCAGAAGTGGATGCGCAGCTCAGAAAAATCCTTTGCAATGAGCTGAGTCTTCTCAAGAGTTGCCACCTGGATTCTGTTTTCTCTCTCTGTGTACATAGAAATCTCTCCAGCGTAGCACGTCTACAAGCCCTTCGGGAGGCTTCTGAAACACGGGCGCTGCCCGTGTTTTCTCCGGGACGTTAAACCTATACATACATACATATATACAAGCATAGAAAGAAGCAGAAGAATAATGAGAATATGAAAATGTTTTAATGATGATATTGAAATGCTCATACGCAGCAAAATGGAGCTTTCTCATGCATCAGAGAGTAGAATGCCATGTATAATTACAATATGATTATAAAATTGTATTTTAAAAATTAAAGACATCTTCTAATTAAGGTAGTGACATTTTACTTGCTTCAAAAAGTCTCTGTTTGTCAGATGCACATTGTCAATATGATTTTTCAAGATATATTTACTGCTGAAGATGTATTGTCATGCTGCTGAATGATATTGACTGTCTAACAGTAGAGCACTGCATCTGTCATCTGAGTACGTAGTGACTGAAAGAGTTATCTCATATCAACTTCTGTGGGGACGATCTTGAACATCAGATGCTTGAATATGTAGAGGTGATGAAGAGTAAGACAAAGTTTCAGAAATCAGGTACGATTCTCAAATAATTATGAATTAAAAATAATGCTTGCATCCCGGTTTTGAAAGTTGAGCTCAGTTAATTTCTTTCATTATGAAAGAATCAGAGATGTATCTGAAACAAAGCTGATATTCTGACTGTGATAATTTTTCTCAATGATATTGTTGCCGACATTTTCAAAGAAGTTGTGATATGCTTTGTTAAAGACTTTCTTTTGTAATTTCTTCTATCTGAATTAAATTTGCAGACTCAGTCTATAATACTTGCAATTTTCAACTGTGTCTCATACATTCTTTAACTGTTTGTACCATGCAATGAGATCATTTTGAAAACATTGATGTTTCTGCTTTAATTTCATCAGCTTTATATCTTTCTCAACTGTTCTCTTCTGATCATCATTTAGACATTTTGAAGTGAAGGGGTTATGAGTAAAACTTGAATGACAGAAGAGTTTGATCAAAGCAATTTTGATTGCTGTTTCAAGAAACACTGATTGTATATTTATATTCATATATTGATTGATATATTCTCAGAAGATATGGCTTTCTGTATGACTCATTATATGATTTCTCTAATATTCAGTTGTATTTCTTGTATAGCAGTATATATTAGAAACTTACTCTACATATCCTCTAGCTTCTGAGATGAA